TCTTCTGTGAAAAAAAAAGAAAGAAACGCTACACACACACACACACACACACACACACACACACACACACACACGTCTTCTATAAAGACAAAAATAAACCATAAAGACCTACGATCTTTTCAGTTTTAATTAACAGTCAGGAAAAGGGTTAAGTTTTCATCTGCTCCCTTTTGTATCAGAGACCAGCTACCGCACGGGCCCAAAGTGGAACAAAACCAAGGGGTTTCATCCAGCGGGGGACAAAAGGACGGGGGTGGGGGTCTCTCCACGTTCACCCAAGCACCTCGGGAGTCTGGGCGCAGAAGCAGGCATGAAACAGAAACAGCAACCCTAAGGTAGAGGAAGAAGTGCCACCAAGCTCCCGGCGTCCTGCACCCGCCCGGGGCAGGGGGGGGGGGGGACACCCTCCTTTGAAGGTTCTGAGTGTGGCAGGAATCACGCATGCTGGGGTTATGTTCAGGACAGCAGGGCACATCAACGGGCACACACGACTTTCCGGCCCTGCCCACTTCAGTAGAAAGTGATTCACTTGGTTTCAGATTTTAAATATTTATTCCTCAAATACAAAACAACGTTGAACATGCGCACCCCCTAATGTCCCAGCCATCTGGCCTGAGTCGGAACATCTTCAGATGAAACAGCCAGCTGGGATTCCGACTTCACAGAGTTCTGAGTCTTTCTCGCAGAGGGGGCTTTCCAAATGCTCTGGGCCTCCCTGTTTCTTGGAGAAGGGCAGTTTTAGTTCTCTGGTCCCATAGTTAGCACTTTGAGGATTTTCAAAGGAGGATTAACCATACTCCATCTGGAAAGAAGTGCCTCTTGTCCTTGCCGGGTGATGTCAATAATTTGTTTGGGACACGATGAAAGCAGACACAGTCACAGTGAGGCTGGCTGGTCAAACACTGGCGGGTGTGATTCAGACCACACTGGCCCCAAGGCTGTCCTGCCGTGAGCCGCTACCTGGCGGGTGCGGGGCCCTCCCGAGACACAAGCTCACCCTGTCTGGCCGGATGCCCTTGCCCGCGTATCAATTCTTCGCCACGTGCACCTGTGGCATGCTGTAGTCCTCGCTGCAGGCTGCTGGACATCATAGGGTTTTCCCCCCCCCCAAAATCCTTACTTTTAAGAGATTTGTCTCTCCCCCTCGCCTCCCCCCCCCCCCCAGAGAGTTTTTTAAACAAGTTACCATGTGTTAGTTCTGAGCACCGGAAACACAGCAATAGCCGAAGGAAAGAATGTTCACGCCTGGGAAGGAGCTCAGCCTTAACTCCGTCACCAAAGAGAGTTTGTCTCCTTAACCTGTGCTGGCATTTTCTGCGCTCCCTCCCCGATAACGCAACAGGATGGAAACGGTTCCTGGGCTCAGTATTGCACAACTGGCAGGTCAGGGAGGAAATGACATGGACATTTCTGAACTCTGTCCATCACAGCTAAAATTATCTCACTAATTATAGCTTCTCTAAATCAGCTCAGGTTAAGGAGGGGAGTACAAATGCTCGGCAAAATGCAGCTCCCTCGGCTGGACCCGGGTGCACGACCTGGGCAGCCGACTCCAGAGGACCTCAGAATTAGGGAAACAGAAGGTATGAGCGGAATGAACTTTAAAGGGAGAGCGGAGGGTTTGCGAGAGGGATTCTTAAGATCTCTCTTCACTGATGCTTCCAAGGGCTGGACACTTGAGAACAAATGAAGGCTGTTGGGATCCAAAAATTACAGACCCACTTAAAAATACCACAACATGCCATAATTCATCCTGTTTATTTCGTGGGTCATTTGGATTGCAAGGACAATGGCGCTTCACCCCTCCCCACCCCTACCCGGATTTAAAACTAAGCCACAGGTCTGGTCTTGTGTGTTGTCACACGGCTCTGGGGATGGGCCTCGGGGACACACCGTGTCCCCCCGCCCCCCCCAACAAGTGAGAAGCTTCTGCAATCAAAAGACCCAGCTGGCTCTATTTCTTCCAGAACTTTCAAGGAGCTTTGCACAGGCTGCTGCATTTTGTTTTCATCTTACTTTTGAAAAACTTCAAGGTCTTTTCATAAAACTTGGAAACGGGATCCAAACCGAGGCCAGATTCTCGCCTTCACTCTAAATCTCCTTGTCCTAAACCTCTTAGGGAGAATACAACCTATTATACCTTATCAGATGCTTCCTTGTCTTAAATCCATGGCAGTCACATTTAATTTCATTACAGTCTGTGTCCTGCGGTCACCCATAAACTCCTAAACCAGCAATAATTAAAAACAAGGTGTATTCCTTAATTCCTAATTCCAACCTACTTATGCAGGGCCTTATCCAGCCAATCTGAGGGTGTTTTTCAAAGCACTCAATAATAAATGTGTCAGACACTCTGTTGGGTTCTTACATTATCTCTAATCCTCCACTCAAGCCCATTGTGCAGGTGCCGGTGAGGAAGGAAATTCTTCCGGGTCACTCCCAATTGGGGAACACATGGCCCCACCCAAGTGCGCGCTCAAGTTACCCTGCCCTCCCCAGGCCGGGACTGTGTCTCCCTTAAGGTGGAGGTTTGCACTTGCAGTGTGCAATGAACAAAGGGAAAGTGAATTTGAGGGACCTGACCGGGGAGCTCTGGCTGAGGGTCTTGGTGAGTGAATAATTTTCCTTGAGTCACTTACAACCCCACACAATTCAGAAAGAGCACCCCACGACCTCTACCTCCCAGCCTCCAATCGCCACCACCCCCAACACAAAGAGACGGGAAAGAAATCAACCAGCCTGCATCTCACACATACCCATTAAAACGACATCCTTCACGCCAAGGCTTAAGACAGGAGCTCAAAGTTCAAAAGTCAGCAAAAGGCAACTTGATTCAAGAACCGTCATGGAGATACACACTCCAGGGGTGCCGTTTATGAAGCGATTGTTTTCAAGTCCTTTCCCCCCACCACCCATGCCCAGCTCACTGCGAAAACAGTGAGAACACACCCTGCGTGCGGTATATCCATAACTTGAGAATCCCATTTCTGCACCCCCTCCCCCACCCCCCACGCTCCCTTTTCCTTGTCAGCTGCCTGCAGCCAGGGCCCTCCTTGGCCCAGGTGACCTTGGCAGCTGGAAGCCATAACCTCATACCTTGCGACCATCCCAAGAGGTGTGTGGGAGGGTGTGCTCAGGTCTGGGGTTTTCAGGGCTGGCTGTGCCATTTACTATGTGTCCCAGGCAAGGCATTTAGTCTCTCTGGGCGTCTACTGCCCATCTGCCAAATGGGTCCTCACCCCCTGAGGGCCAGAGATGTTTGTGGAAGGCCTTTGCACTGAAAAGCGCTAGACCCCTCTGAGGGGTTTTAATTGTCATTATGCTTCTTTCCCAGAACCTTTCTGGCACTTTAGGGCATGTTAATTCCTATGTGCCCCAGGGGCAAGTGCATTCACTCCTGCATCTTTTGCTGTTGGTGAACTTTTACCCACGGTTGTATCACCACCAAAAAGAACACCCAGTTCTGCGCGGCAGCCTGATTTACGGAAATTGTTAAGAGCCTTGTCCCTTAAAGATGACCATTCTCATTTTGGCCCTTTGTGTTAACTCTGTGCCTCAGTTTGCTCCACTGTCAAAATGGGGGAGAACACCTTCATTTGGGGGCAAAGGTGTGGTACAGGCTACGGGCCGCTCACGCAGTCACTTGCCCTATGCCTTACCCCTCTCAACATGCATATACACCACATTCCAACACTGGGATCCGAATTTCCGCCAAAGATAATTACAAGGCCCAAGGGCGGCTCTTGAAGGCCCAGGGCCTTCTCTCCCTTGACACTATCGGGCCCTCCCTGACTCCAGCAGCCAGGTTAAGACAAAAGTCGGAGCCTCACAGCTGGCCGGGGAATGCAGAAAAAGGTGGGTGGACGATATAGAATTAGACCATCCTGACATTTCCCTCCTCACTCCAGACGTTTACTATGCTTGTTTCCCGCGACCTGGGCCAAGGCTGAAGCACTTTGCAGGATCCTCCAGTGTGGGAGCCCTAGACGGGGAAGATTTCTCTTTTGCCACCTGGCGTCTTCCCCAGGAGCTGGGAGCCCCCTTCTGGGTCTTCCTCCCCCGCCCACGCACCCCCTGCACCCTCTACTTGTCCTGGCTTCGCCCCAGGTGTTTCTGGGGGAAGAATGTCTGAGACCCTACTCCTCCTGCAATCCCTCTCTCCCGTCACTTGATGTGGGCACCACACCACTCCAGACTAGACAAATGCAGATCGAAAGAAAGAAAGAAAGAAAGAAAGAAAGAAAGAAAGAAAAGAAAAGAAAAGAAAAGAAAAGAAAAGAAAAGAAAAGAAA